CTCGGATCGACATGAGAAACGGAGGTCACTTATACCGTCTGCTGGCTGCACTTATCGCGGTTGTGTGTGGTTAGTTGGCCTTGTGGGGTGGATGATCCAAATGTGAAAAAATCAGTGCTGTCGATGTGGCCTCTTAGATCAACTGGCAGAATGTTCTCCATACAAAGAACTGGCGGCCTCCTTGCGTGGGTTCGAATTCCATCCAAGGTACTGATCATTTCACATTTCAAACTCAAGACTTCTGGTACTACTGCCAATCAGGCAAAACTGTCCTGAAGAGTTTGGTCTCTGTAGATTGATCATTTTTCATTTGGATTAGATTATCACTTCTTTTAGAGTATGGATTATTTCATCCGGTTATCTGATACGCTGTGTCAGTAAAAGATCCATTTCAGCCTCAATTAATCACGGAAACGAAGTGAAAGTCACGATCCAAAGAATATCAATCTGCCTATTGAGAACTGCGTAGGACCTGTGAGGTCCCGGGTTCGATCCCCGGTTGGTACCACTTTTTTCAAAATCGTCCAGCCCTCCGGAACTCTTTAATTACTGACTTTTGCGAAGAATTGGCGTTCAATGTGAGATTTTTCACAACAATTAATCTCACATGATCAGCACACTGTCAGTACCATTTTAAATGTATTGATGAAAACAAATTCGTTCGCTTTCATTGGCACAACCTTTAGAGAGAAATAATTCCATATTGCAGCCTACTGGTTACATCTAACAGTATTTCCAAACGTGCGGAAGAATCGTCAATCACAGCCAATTCACTTTCGATCTGTAATTTACTCTGTTTGAATAAAGTGAAATCCACTGGTAATTCAATGAGTAGTGGGAAATGCGTGGCATATGCAAATAAATAATTGATTTCCATTTGGTTGTGCTTGTGGACAATATGAAATCTGGACAGAGCTGTTTACAATTGAAAATTGTTTTTGTGCTGAGCATGTTTTTCTTTTCTTTTTCACTTTTAATTCTTTTTCTTGAATAAATAACAATATAATTTTCAGTAAGGGGATGCTTCCAATCCAATTGCCATAATGCAACATATAATGGGAAAAGTCAGGCGTTGGTGATGGGATTCGAACCCACGTCCTCAGGGGTAATAATTTGGTGACGTTACCACCGGTTCACCACTGCCAGTGAGCATTGGACAGCTAGCTCGTTCGTCCTTGTTTAGTGTCCACGGCAGTGGACTGGAATCACAAAACAACGGGAATACTAGTATGTTAAATACGATGGCCAATGCTTTTGAACTGCTTACCATTCTAAAGAACAACTAAAATTTGCCGATAGCATCACGTGAATGACCTAAGTGATTATTATTATTATTAGCTTCTTTCATTTATGCCTTGGTTCAGGGAATAGAATTTTATGTGCTTTTCGCACTTTTTTCATATATATTTACCACCGGCTTGACGACAAGCATGGTGCCAACTCAACAACAATAATAACAATAACAATAAAACGGGATAGGTGGATGGGGGTACAGAACATAGTGAAAAGGGGGTGAAACAGTTAAACATGGGGAAATGCAGGATAACAGAATGTTTTTGTGTTTCACCGAACACCTTTTGCAATTTTTTGTTGTTTTACGGGGCACGGGATTTCGACAGACTAGCCGTACAGCATTCGCGCCACTGACTTCTATTCTGGGCCATATCTCTCAGCGCCTCTAACCACCGACAATCCTCATCCTTTGGACCCCAACCTGGCAGGCGGACTGCACCACCCGAAGCCAAAGCTGAAGCCAG